GTGGGATCCGAACCCTCGGCGGGAGCGCCGCCGCGCTTCCCAAGCAGCGCACTATAGCAGTGCGCCACCGGGCCGGCCCTTTGAGGATTTTTTACAAAAGGAAAGTTATAGTTAACTTATACCTAACATGTCAAATTTCGAAAAACTGCGGACATCTGGTTCTCAGAAATCTTACCCAAAATGTTGGTTCTTTTGAACATCTCTTCCTGTAATAGGAAGTTAATAAAACTATGGTACTTCATCCTACTCTTCACAGAGGAAATTTATATCCCTGCTTTGAAGTAGTTTAATGTCCTTTTTGAAGAAGGTAGTTAAGATGTGTTGTACATTTGTGTAAATTTCACCTGAGAGTGCACTTATGTATGGAATATCCATCCAGGAGTTAGGATCTTCAAAACAAACTAACCAGACACTGGGTGGTTTTTCTTTTTCAGTAGAGTGCGTATGTAAATGAATGACAGATTTCCACAATACTTTTTTTGTAGGATTATGCTAAAGAGAGATATGGAATATCTTCAATGATACAATCACAAGAAAAGCCAGGTTAGTAGGCATGTGATAATAAATAAAGCTTTTTTTCTTTCTAATTCCAGGAAAGCTTTTCATGAAGTTTTAAGTACGGTTGGCATAACCCAAGGTGTAACTCTGAAGGCATAACTCTGAAAAACTTAAAGGACATTAGTAACCCAAGTAGATGTAACCCTTTGTAAACATTGTCAGTTTAGGGTTCCTAATTTAGAAAAGGAAGAAACTGTGTTAAATGAGTATTGTAGGTTAAGTGGAATATTTTCAATGATAGGTTCTATTTTTAAATATTCCTAAATGATTAGAAGAGCAGTTAATAAAACTGCCTTCATCACATGCAGGCTTTTTGCATGCTGTAATGAAGCTATATCCGCATTACTTTCCCCCATTAACTTCTCTGACTGTTCTTGGCTATATTTATTAAATTTCTATTCTGCTTGACTCTTTCCAAATATTTATTTTCTCATTTAATCCTTACAACATCCTTAAAAATTCTAAGGAACCAAAGTTGAAGGATAAACTTGCCTCTCACAGTGAGAATCCCCCTGACCTAGGATTGGAACCAAGGCCATCTGACCCTACAGCCCAGCGGTTTTCCATGTTCTCTGGCTCCTTTGGCAGTGCTGTAATTTGGGTTTTAAACCCCACTTTCCCAAAATACTATTAAAATTACCCTAATTATAACATATATTTATAAGTCCACTCTTAGATTTATGCTATTCTGTTTTGTTTGGTTTTGAGTTTGATTACCTATTTAAACCATATGCTTTTTCTGTCTTGGCATATTCAAATCTGCGTTCTAAAATCTTACCCTGCTTTCTCTTTTCTTTCACAATTTATTTTACATGAGTTTACACATTAGACTTGGAAGTTAGCTTATTAACTCATAAAGTCTGTTGACAGTGTTTTGCACAAATCCTCTTATGATGCTGAATGGCTTTAAAAATTCTCATTCATTCTCTTTGCTTTTGGCTGTGAGAACCCTGGTGTTCTCCTGTAAACCGGATTCTCTCTACAACTGCATCTTTGCTTCAAGAGAGAAGTTATATGTATGTTTAGACAAACTAGGTAAAATATATTTATAATTTGATTTCATTTTGTTATGTATCCTAAAAGGTATTAGTCTTAATGTTATAATGTCATGTCTGTTACTATGTATTTAACTAATACTTAATTTTTTCTCTAACCAAATTATTGCATATTTAAAACAATAAAATGATTCCTGAATGTTGCCTCATACAGCTGTCTTTACATAAAGCTGTGTTTTGTTGCTGTTTTCCTGTTTGGGGGACTCTAGATGGATGACATATTTTGTGTAGTGTGAGAGGGCATAATAGTTGGGGCCTACTTACAGCCAAAGGCTCACATAACTATAAGAACAAAGTATGAAATGGCATCAAGCATGACTGGATCTAGGGGCTCAAGCACCATCTTCAGGGCTTTTTTTCTTTACCTCTTGGCTCTGCATCCTTTAGGATACTGGCTTCATTCTCCCATCCTGCAAACTCATGTTGTGGGAAAGCTGGTGGCTGTAGCCCTGGGCCTACACCATCCCAGCTCAGCAACCATAGGGAAGAGAGCTTCATTCCCAACATCTATATATTAAGTCCCATAGAAGGACTTTGATTAGCTCATTTTTAGTAACATGCCCTTCCTTGGGTCAAGTCACTGTGTCCTGGGGAATGGGGTACTATGACTGTCCAGGCCTGGCCGAGAATTTTACCCTGTGGGTAGTTGACTTACATACAGTGGGAAGCAGGTATGCACAAATGCTGTGTCCGCTTGGGCATAGGCAAGTGAAGATGGGCTGTGTGTGGCCTTATAAGTCATTGAAGTGTTCAGCAGATGTGCATTTTGAAACAGTCTATTTGATTGAAATGTAGACTGAATTAGAAGGGGACAAGAGAATAGCCACTTAGAGGGCTATTGCTGTAGTTTAGGCAAGAGATAATAGCTGGATTTAGGAAGGTGGCAGTGAAGATGGCTGAGAATTGATGGACTTTAGAGATACATTTAGAAAGTACAATTCACAAAACTTAAGGCAAGTTGCACGTGGAAGGTGATAGAGAAGAACGTTTTGTTAAAGATTGGGAATTATTTAAGATGATGCCACGTATTTGTGCTAGCTGTCAGAAAGAAATAATTATCTCTTTGTAAATTCTGATTTTAAAAGTTGTTTCACTATTTGTTACAGATCGAGTTTTGGTTTGGGTTAGAGATTTGACAGTACAAAAAGCTGATGAAGTTGTTTGGGTGCGTGCAAGAGTTCATACAAGCAGAGCTAAAGGTAAGATTGATTTAATAATCAAAACCCTTTTCGTAAGGACTCTGAATTTTTTTGTCTTGCAGTTCCTCACAGACCAAAGTAAATCATAAAACAAAACAGAACAAAATGAAAACATAACTGTTTTCTTTATTAAATCACAGTAAAGTATTAGTCTGTGGTTAATCAATTATGGGTTCGTATAAGACATCCTTAAAAATAATTTGACCCCAAAGACTTTGAAAACTAAGATGTCAAGGTATTTTTCTAGCATCTTTCAAAAATTTGATTATTTAAGGGCCAGCCTGTGGCTCACTCGGGAGAGTGCAGTGCTGATAACACCAAAGCCATGGGTTCGGATCCTATATGAGGATGGCTGGTTAGCTCACTCACTGGCTGAGCGTGGTGCTGACAACACCAAGCCAAGGGTTAAGACCCCCTTACCGGTCATTTTTTTAAAAAAATTTTTTTGATTATTTAAATGGTGTGTTTTGATAAGCTTCTCATTTATTAACGTTCTTGTATTTGAAATTATTTAGATAGGGAAAGAGATGCAATAGAGATAAGGCTAAGACTGGGCTGTCCAATACAGTAGTCAGTGGACACATGTAGCTATTTAAATTTAAAGTTAGTAGTTCAGTCACACTAGCTGTACTTCTAGTGCTTAATAGCCACATTTGCCTAGTGGCTCCCATATTGGACAGATAGCACAAATCCAGAATATTTTCACCATTGTAGATAATTCTTTTGGACAGTGCTGAGCTAAGAATTTACCATTAATAACAGAGAAGAAAGGTTAGGATATTTTAAAGAAACCTCAGTTTCTTATGGAGAATTGGCCTAACGTAGTGTTCAGAATTTTCTAAAAATATTAATGACGCATATATTAGTTTATAACTTTATATTTTTCACACACATTTTCAGATTTGATCATCCCTACAAATTTGTGAAGTAGGCAAAACAGGCATTGCTATTCCACTTTATGAATGAGGAGATTGAGGTGACTGAGGTTCAGAATGATGAAGCTCCTTGCCCAAAATCTAATTGGTAGAATACAGACAGAATATGGAAGCTTCCTAAGACATCTCTGTGTCTTTAGCAAAGTTCTTTGTTTCTATAATATTTAACAGATACCATCTAACAGTATTTTTCAATTGTATTTTGAAATATTTTTATTATTATGGAATTAATATATGCTCTTTTTTCTTAATGTAATTTTATTAGTATTATTTTTTATATTCTAGGATGTTGTTGTGGAGCTGTTGGGAGGGAGGGGGAGGAGAAAGGGGAAGGAAATGAGATGGAAGAAGGAGGAAAGAGGAGGGGCAGGATTGAGGCCTGTGGCACCCCCCTCATTCCCACAGAAGGGAGAACAGAGGGCTTCCAGCAGTGGCTTGGTCATTGCTGGGCTGGATGCACATATCAGGGGGATGTGGCAAAAGCCTTCGTCCCCCACCATCCCAGCTTGGGAGCCTGGGGCCCTTCCTGCTGCAGCTTGGTAGTTGTTGCTGTGCTGGTTGCACGTATCGGGGGGGTGTGGCTGAGGCCTGAGGCTCCACTGCCCTGGGTCTGGAGAGCACGTGGCGCTTCCTGTGGTGGCTCAGTGGTTGCCACAGGGCTGGCTGTGGGTGTCAGGGGGGCATGGCTGAGGCCCCCCACTGCCGCGCTCAGGAGAGCCCAGGGTGCATCCTGCAGTAGCTCAGTGGTCGCTGCTGTGCTGGCTGCGTGTGTTGGGGTGGGCATGGCTGAGGCCAAGGCTCCCCACCACCTCATCTGGGAGATTCTGGGGAGCTTCCTGTGATGAATCAGTAGTTGCCGCTGGGCTGGCTGCATATGTTGGGGGGATGTGGCCGAGGCCCTCATCACCCACCCTCAGGATTGGTTGCTGGTGTCAGGGGCATTGCTGAGGCCCCCGGCCCTCCCCACTTTCTGGCTTGGTAGCCCAGGGGACTTCCAGTCCTAGGTGTTATAGGTGTTAAAGGTGAAATGAGACCTTTACTAGTTAATATGAAACTTTGTCTCTGGTTGCAGGTACTTTGTTTTTTCTTTCATTTCTGTGTTGGATTATTTGCTGTTCCCACTGTTTAAACTCTGTGCTGGAACTAGTTTGTTGTCCTTTGCTTACTTCTAAAATGGAGGAACTTACTGTGGGGACCAGTACTTAGAGCTCTGTGGTTGAGCTAAATTGCTGCTTTGCTGCTCATTCCCTAGGGAAGGCTTTTTGTGATGCTCAAGTTTTAATGGTTGACTTTATAGGTACTTCCTGCTCGCGAGAGATCAAGTGAACCTGGATTCTGTACAAACTCTGGTCTGGGCCTGAGTCTTATCATCAGACTGCACCCCATGCAATTCTGTATTCCTGATCAGTTTCCTCTGAGTGTCCTTCACTGATTGGGGTGCAGATCAGCTCTTGCTGTGTCCCAGTCTTCTCCTGGTGGGCCTGTCTCCCCCACCACCCATGGGCTGTGCAACAGTCCCTTGCGATGACTCACTGGCCTCTGAGTGGCTGCTTTTTTTCAGTTGTTGGGGCTCCTTGCTCCTGTGTGGGTCTGCAGAAACCCTATTAGTGGTCTTGTAGGCCAGGGGGACACCAGGCCCTCTTCTCCCATGCTGCCTCCAAGCAACTTCATCCAAACGGCACAGCTGTGGCTTTTGCTGGCTCCTGCTCCATCCACTCAGCAGCTCCAGCCTGGACGCGGCCAGGGCTTGAAACAGTCAGAGTGGTTTTTTCTTTCTCTCATCATGGCTTCTCTTGCCTTATTGTACTCTATAAGTCTCTCCTCCTCTCCCCCTGAGCTCTAGTGGCCCCAGCTTGGCTGTCGTTGCTTTTTTATAGTTGTAAATTGGTTGATTTGTGGGAGAGAGTGACACTGGGGACCATCTATTCTGTCTTCTTGACTGGAAGTCCCATTTTTTAAAAATTCTAACATTTTATGCATATATCTCACTCTCTCAGGGTCACTAGTATTGAGAGTTTGTCTATTCTTACAATATCCTCCCCACATAAACTGATGAAGACTGGTGGACTTTGTGCACAGTACTGGTGTAGTTCTAAATTTACAAATAATGTTGGTTTGTGTTCCTGAAAAGTTGGGCCATTTATTCTACCAACAGA